TCCGGCGCCTTAGCATCTGGTGTTTTCTGAAGAGCCCCTGTAACAGGTATAAGATGCATTAGCCCCCACAATGATTTGTTTATACTGTTTTCCATGCAATCCAATCATCCACTAAAACTTGACAATAAGTGAAAAGAAAAAGGAAACTAAAAAACTGATTATTTGCGTACACGTGGTACCACAACTGCACAACTACTGGCACTGCAGGCATGGATGGACTGGGAATCCAGAGCTGTTGGCCAGCCTCAATCATTACTTATGAAGGTTAATTATCTCGTTATTTCAAGAAATCAAGAAAACAATTAATGGTTTAACTGATGACGAGATAGTTATGTCATTATCTCGAGAAGGCAAAGGAAAAGGAAAAAAAAATGTGTGCATGACCGCTCTCGGCTTCTGTAGCTAGCCCAAAAACAAAACAAAACATTTCTTAAATGTGTCAAAAAAGAAAAAATGTCTTTACGATCTCTAAGATCTTTGGGGATATCTTTAAAGCTGCAGTCTGTAACATTGAGGAGAGAGCAGACTTCGACTGAAAATTTGAAGAAAAACAGGTTTCACGCCACTCCCCCACCCTCTCTGCTTCACTCATGCCCCACCTCCAAGCTCCACCCCTCCCACAGCATCTGCGCGGCTACCGCATGCAACCAGAAGGGGGGGGCGGGATTCAGCGTGTGTGAGCTGTGATTGACACTCCATCAGACGCTCCTCTGGCTGTGATTGGTTGTTTTGACTCGTCCCGAATTATTCTTTCCAGATTGAAATACAGGCAGTAGGCGGGACCAATTGAAGCAGTTTTTTTCAAAGGTTACATATCACATGTACTGCTGTCTGGGCATAGGGACAGTTTTAGCCAATATGACAAAAAAGTGATTTTTAAAACTTACAGACTTCAGCTTTAAGAACTACTTTAAAATAAGGTTCCTCTAACAAATAGTTTGTAGATATGTTATAAATTAATCTATGAAAACGTGGTTAGACACTAGGGAAATTTTTATTCTAGTTAATTATAGGGTCTGTAATAAATTAATCACAAATTATTGCATTTTAATCAAAAACCATATAAATAAAAAACACCCTCTTTCAAGTCAAAAAACATTTTTGCTCCTAAATGATTAAATACATTAACATCATAGGACAGCAACATGTATATTTATTCATATTAATCCATTGTTTTCTTTATTCAACCATTAAACTGTTTGGAAATAAAAATCATTTAGCCTTTAAAAAAACTCCTGATATTTTAAGCAACTTCTGTTTAAAACTAATCCTAAAGAAGTATGAACAGAACATAAACATGTATTACAGCACAATTACTTCCACTGAATTGGGTAAAAAGCCGTACAATTCTACTTTAAGAGTTGACTTTTGCTGTTAAGAGAAGTTAAAGTTCCAATTCTAATGCTGCGTTCACACCGGGGGCAGCTGGCGCGACAGAAGCAGCGAGTTTACATGCAAAGTCAATGGTTGACGCGCGTCAAGGCGCAGCAAAAGGTCCCGCGGCGCGTTTTGAGCAGCAGGCGCAGCGCGTCTGAGCAGCTGAAGCAGCGCGTCGGGCGCGTTTAAGCATCTGACGCGCGTGACGCGCCGCAAACGCGTTGCTGCTCGAGATGGAAAAATTGAATTTTTGCTGCTCGACGCGCCGCGTCAACCAATCAGAGAAGCTGATCTGGGAGCTGGCTGGGAGAGAGACACAGCGCTGATGACACAGACCGCTCTGATTACTCCTCTTAAACAGTTTATTAACGCATAATTAACTTAAAATGTATACATCTGCCGGCAGAATATGTTCGCTTTTATTATTCTGGTGCCTGCAGATCGGATTATTTAGATGAAAAACACCTACCAGCCGCCGCGGTGAACCGCGAGGAGGCGACCCGGCCAGAGGCTGCTGATGAAGGGATTCCTTCTGTCGGCGCACCGCCGGTATGTGGGGGTCTGAGCGGCTCCGACAGAAATAACATTGGGAGGCAGGATGGTAATCTGGATGAACTGACTGCACTGATGAAGTTTTCAGGTGTATTTTCTCACTTAAAAACATATTAAAACTACTTTATTCCCACTGATCACAGCAAATATAGCTGCAAGGCAGAGAAAGGATAGAGTAGCTCCGCCCAACGCGTGTCAGACACACTTTTGCACCGCGCAGCCAGAGCAGCAAAGCTGCTTCAGCCGCGCGTCAGAACTAACTGGTACAAGCAGCAAAAATGAAGCAGCAGACGCAATTTTGCTGCTTTTGCAGCGTCCGGTCTGAACGTAGCATAAAACTGACAGCAGAAATATGGCAGCACAGCTATGCATAGCAGCCTTTCCTTTCGGAGCTTAACAGTTTCTATTCAACATGCAACATTTACTATGACAAACATCCATGTCGTAACCCCTTTTACCAGGGAGTTGTTCAGTTTTTCAGATATGTTCTTACTATGTTAGGCTTGAATCTCGTCATGCGGTCCGATAGGGAAGCTTTCGTTTTGAGAATCTCTGTGTTTCCATAATATGAGCTGTTTCATTCCTTCCTGACTGTCAGTGGAAGTATTCAAAGTGGATATTATTTTTTACGCTCCGCGAAGGTTGGGGCTCTAATGTAAAACAGAGGTTAGCTACCTGACATAGCTAACGTAGCCCACCTGACTGTCACGTCATAAAATAACGCCTATGTTCCTGTCAGGACTCCTGTCTTTGTGTTTCTGTGTTTGTCTCCCTTCATCCACCAGGAGGCGCCTGGTTCTGATCCGCCTCCTCACACACCTGCGGATGTCATTAACGGAGTGTTCTTAAGCTGCTGACTGCCACTACCTCGATGCCAGAGTGTTTGCCAGTTTTGGGTACTCTAGCCAAGCTGAGTTTTGCTAAGTCAACTGAGTTCTTGTCAACCTGAATCTTAATCTTGTTTTTTTGTCTTTGCCTCTCGGCAGGAAGTCATCCTGCAAACTGGATTTCTCGGACCTTCTCTCCCTGGAAGTATCAACTGAGCTACAAACTGAGCTGGGGTTCAAACAGGAGGTTTGGATCCACTTTCCCCAAGAGATCGTTTGAGGTTCTCACTGAGAAAAGGATTATTCTCCACTACGACCCGTTCAAGTACCGCAGGAAATCTGAGTGGCAGTCAGTTTCTCCGTTCACCAACTAACAACCGCATTTTGGCCCTCCACCGCATTAGACAAACACTGGAACCACGGCAGAAAGACAGGAGTCAAGGATTCAACAACTTCTCTGGAAACGTGAGTCGGCAACCAAATCCTCTTCTCCAAGTTCACAAGTCAAATTCCCCAATGAGCCTGAACTAACCGCTGTGTCTTCCCCTCACTTTTTAGTTCCTGTTGAGCAGTGTTCAGAGCAACACTTCTCCCTCTGTTTAACCTCTTCAATAAAACCCGTTAAACCTTTTCCCTGGTCTCTCTGTTCGGTTTTCTGCATTTGGGTCTGAACTTTGTAAAATCATGACAGCTCCTCGCAGGGCGGGATTTATCATTAGGTAATTAGGTAAATTCATGGGGCCCCATAAAACTCTGTTTACATGTGTTGTATGGTTAATACAGCTATTCCTTATTTGTGCACGTTTTTTTTTTTTACAAAAATCCTTTTGCTAAAATGCCATCAGAACACATATTAAATGTATCTCTAGGGCCCCAAATGTCCTTAATCAGCCCCTGGTTCCTTGTCTCGTGGGATCCTGGCTGAGAAGTTCATATGAACGTTTGTGTCTAAGCAGGAATTCACAGAGCCATAGTTACAATATAACTTCTGTTGCACTGAGATGATTTCAAAGCTTGAGTTCCCCCAGTGGACCAAGACAGAGAAAAAATGAATAGTTTCCAACACATGACTTTACAATGTACAAAAAATACAGTTAACTGCATACATTTTTAAAACACTAAAATGTCTATATAATTAATTAATAAAAATTAATGAGTTTAAGTCCCAATGCTACTAAACTTTACCTAAGCTTTTTACCTATATACATCATCTGTTTTATTCAAAACATTGCAGACTAAGTTACTACCTTGTATGCATACCAAACTGAATGCCAAATAAACGCTTCAAAAATGACTTACAAAATATTAACAGATGAATTAATTTCATATTTGTAAACTATCATTTAGCCATCTATATGGGGAACCTTAGTGTAAACATTTTGCAAAAAAAAAAAACAAGCCAAAAGTTAATTACAGTGTTGATGGTTTGATAATCTAAGGAAGCTTTAGAGCAAATGGCCTTGGGTTATGACCCAGTAGGTCCACTTCTAAAGAGCTACAGAAAGCAAAATCCTAATGTTGAAGGTCCATATTAAATCTGATTAAAATCCTTAGACACTAGCTTTAAGCGGCTGTTCATGCTTTAAAAACTAAAAAAAAAAAACATTTAAGGAGGCAAACATCTTTAAGGGCACTCTTAACCTTTTTTTTCTGCTGGGAAACAGTTGTTTAACTCTTTTTTTTGTTTCCAATTTTTGGTTTCTCTCTTATTTAATGATTTTTATCTTAACAAATAATTAGATGTTGAACTGATCAGTCCAAACATTTCAGTGTTTTTTTAAAGCTTGTTTTTGCTACTTCTTGCTCTAGTCTCTGCTCCTTGGCTGCAGGGTTTCTGGCTTCCCCTTTCCACTTAGCAGCCTTCACCTTGCTATGTCATCATCCCTCTGCAACCTTTGGCATCATGTTCTTTGGTTGTTCTGATCCTGCCATTGAAATGATTTACTGCTAAAAGTTGGTGTTCTGGCTGTTTTTATTAACTCTGTCAGAGCCTGCACAGATTTGTCCCAGCTGGCTACAACAGAGTGCCTGACCATATCCAGTCAGCTCCCAGCATGAGGGAAAGTCTGTGTCCCAAAGAGGATGCCTGTCACTTTGGTGTTTGTGATTATTCTCAACTTTTTCTCCATTTGATCTAGTCTGACTGCTCATCTAAAGCCTTTAAATTTAAAGTAATTGTTGGCTAGTTCTGTTATGTTCATCTTCAGTAAGTTAGAGTAGATTAACTATCCCCCCCTCACTCACAGTGAGCAGGTTGAGCAGGTCAGTGTTGGAGTCGATGCTTGGCGGCGTGGTCTGGATCAGTGCCAGCTCTTGAAGGATGGCATAGAGCTGCTGGGTTTTGGCCAGGTTCACCCGTGTCTTCTCCTTGTCGACCCAGTCCGGCAGCGCCACGTGCACGGCTATCAGGTCTTTCAGGTGCACGCCGAGGATGGGGAATCGGAAGCCTGAGCACTCAGAGAAGCGCTTCCGGTACTGGCTGTAATTTCCACATGACGTCACCAGTTCAATGAGGCTGTTAAAAACCTGCAGGTGAGCAGATGGGAGGGAACGAAAGAGTTGACCAGAGGGGTTTTAAAACTATAGATAGCTTGTTGCTGCGGCAACTGTTTTTTAAAGAATCCCAAATGTTGATCAAATGTTGAGTAAAACTTTCCTCCAGATGGACTTACATAACGGCAGAGACAGTTTACATCCACCCAACTGTTATGATTAACTCTCAAGTCATGTGGCTAAAATTCATACTTCTAAAAAGACAGTGTGTAGGAGTAGTGGGCAAAGACAGGCAGCGCTGCAGCTCTCACAGAAGAGAGGTGGGCTGCTGAATCAAGATCCAATATTAAAGTTTAGCTATGCACACTGACATCCTGCAAACCCTGGATTTGGATTTCTAACAAAATATAAAAGAAACTAAAAAAACAGAAATAGAAAGCATGATTTAGAGGGCAACAGTAGCAACGGCACCTTGTTGGTCTCTGCACTGATGTGACTCTGAGTTTCTTTAAGACGGGAGATGGAGCTGTTGCTGAGGCCGCCCACCACCGCCATCAGGGTGTTGAAGTTCTGCAACTGAAGCAGCTTCTGTCATGGAGAAAGCAAACCACATGTTTACATATACAGCATTAAAGAGATTTTTTTTTCGTTTTATATGAAACAATATTCAGTCAGAAATTTAATTCAATACAGTTTATAGCTCATAGCCTGATCAGCCAGGCTGATACGATGTAAATGTGGCATATCAGAGAGAGTAAGGAGCTGGTGGAGCTCGGTTTCAAAGGTTGGTCTAACAGGGTCAGTGTCATCAGGTCAAAATCAATCAGATAACTAAGAAAAACCTCCAAGCAATTCCCTCCCTTTTTTACATTCTTCCAAGTCACCATGCAAAAGAAATCTAAGAAAAATTTGCTCAGAAAATTGCTGCTGCATTATGGGTAATTCTCTCATCATAACGTCCTGTCTCCCACGCTGTGATTAGTCTGGCTACAGTCAAAGGGCAGTTTGCCAGACTGACTAACATTACATTCAGTTAATTTAGATTTTACCGATTCAAAACGGATGTAATCACAAGGCAATTGTGAAAGACAATTCATCTTTCACACATTCATCAGATCATCCTGTCAGATTAAATAAATGTTTTCTATCCAAGGAAACAAATCCACTGCATTAAGTCTAGGGACTTTGCAAGGTTCATTCCTCCTTGATGAGCATGTAGTGGCAGTAGACATTCTCACTAAATCTACAGCAATCCCTCACCCTAAGCATGCATGCTGTGACAGTGGACAGGAAAAGTCCATTTTAACAGGAAGAAACCTCCAGCAGAACCAGAATCAGTTTGAGCGGCCTTCTGCTGAGGCTAGAAGGTAGAAAAAGAAACACAAAAGCAACATAGAAGCACTGATTGATGAATACTTTCTACGTTAGAGAAGGTAACAGTAAACTGTAGTAAACAGCTTTGTGCTGTCTCTGTGTAGGATGGAAAGAGTCAAGCAGATGAGCTCTGTGCCGGTTCACATGTCAAAAACTTTTACTGTTGTCTCATGTCTCAAAGAATAACTCAATCTTAAGAACTTTTAAGAATTTAATATTAATTTTTCTTAAAAATACTGCCCAAATATATGTTTCTCATTAATTCTGCGGCCCTAGAAGCAGCCCCTCCCTTCCCTGTGAAAATGAAGTGTCCATGACTGGTGTACGTGGAACAGAGGTTACACAGTGTCTACCTTGACTGTATAAACCAGCACGTAATGCGGTAATGTGAGGCAGAGCAGGATCTTATCTCCTTAGAGTTGATAAGATTAAATGTCTTAGTCATAAAAATTTGTTTTTTGGCTGAAAGAGGTCTTGGATTCTGACCAGCCTTTCTAAGGCGTTTATGCACCAGAAGTGATCCAGAGATGCAGGGCTGCTGGAATTACATTTGAACAGGGGGTGCTGTGAATTTTTTTTTAATTTGTTTTTCGGACTAAAGACCTATGAGCCTATAGACCTCCTATTTAAAATACAAAAAAATAAATAAGTAAATAGATTCACAGATTCACTACTGCAGGAGCGAAATTTTGTATGAAATAAAGGAGAGGAGACTGTTTTTACGTGTTATGACGGCTTTTCTGCAACACAAACGGTAAAACAACAGTATAGCTCCACCGTTGCTCCTTTATTCTCACTTTTTTTCTAAAACAGCAGAACTTCCTGGTCACACTACAGAAGCCTAAACAATTTGCAAAATGTGTCTAAATCAAATCTTACCCATAACAAACAAATAAATAAGTCATTTATTCTTAAAATAAGTGCATTTGTTCTTGAATTGAGGAGGTAAAAGAGACCTTTTGCCAATGGAACAAGACAATTTACATTTAAAATAAGAAAACACAATTGCATTGTCTTTTTTCAAGTGCATTTTATCTAATTATCTTATTTTAAGAGTAAAAATACTCATCCCATTGGCAAATAATGTCATTTACCTCCTCAAATTAAGGGTAATTACACTTAATTTAAGACAACTTTACTAATTTCTAGATCATTTGTCTAGTGCACTTATATTTTCTATAAATGAGGCTTACATTCCGACCCCTAATTGTTACTTCCAAGGGATAATAATTACTAAATACGAAACCCTAATTTATAACTGGGTTCTAAACATGTAATCTAACATCCTTATGTAACATTATCACAAGTTACTTGTTAACTAAACACAAATGTACCCACATCACATCCTGTGTAGATCTGAAGCTCTGTAGTTTACAGCATATTTGAATAACAACTTTACTGTCATGTACACTTCAGTGCACGAAACCAGGGTCTGTAACAAACCGACATCATCAGTTCTCAGGTGAATAACTTCACAATAACACTATACAACATAGATTTGATCAGCTGGTATGAACCTCAGTCACTGTGTTTATGTCACACGTGACTCTATTTGCTCCAAAATCATTTTACACAAACCACAAGGAAACCACAAGGAAATTACACAAGGAAATAATTATATTATTATACTATTTATACGTTATTGAACAGTTCTCCACATCAATTACACAAAGAACGTAAAATCAAAATGACCCCCTAAAAAATACTATGGTTATGTTAAACTGCACAGATAGATATGAAAGTATATTTGAATTATTGGATGCAAACTATTTCTCTTCTGATTTCTCATCTCGATCTGTATTTTATACAATGAGGCCTTTAAGTTTAATCAAATCCAGTGAAAACTTTCAAGAGCGCATCTGACAACTTCTAAAAAAACTTCTTATCGCAGGCATGGATAAAGAGATCCTGAGTTTGGAAGAAAACAATTTTTTATGTTTCTAGTTATCCCTAGGAACATACATCCATAACAAAATGAAAATATTTGGGCAGAAACTGCACATATGCGGGATGCTGATGGGGATTTTTTTAATATGTCATATTAAATCAAGCGTTAATTTCTGCAAATTTTGCACGTATGAATTAAATAATGTTGCGCATGGTCTCGTCGAGCTGAAGGAAGTCAGAGCGGAGAATGACGGAAGGAGCAGCAGAGGCTGTAGGCTTTGCTTTGTGCGGGAATCTGGAATGGAGCAGGGCGGTTATGGAGGATATGGGATTTCGGTGTTACTTTGAGCTACATGCAACAGGCTCTGGTTGCAGGTCTCCAAATGTTGAAGTGTGCTCTGAGGTTGTGGAGATAAACGTCTCTCATAAGTGGATGGATCGGAATTGGCATTTCCAGAAGAAAGAGGCTTTCTTTTGAAGTCTTTGGTGAAAAAAATAAAATAAAAAACTACCGGTAATAGTTGGCTGCTCAGTGGCGCAGTGAGTAGCACTGCTGCCTTGCAGCAAGAAGGTTCTGGGTTCAATTCCTGGCCCGGGGTCTTTCTGCATGGACTTTGCATGTTCTCCCTGAGCATGCGTGGGTTGTCTTTGGGTACTCCAGCTTCCTCCCACAGTCCAAAAACACGACTGTTAGTTTAATTCGCTTCTCTAAATTCTCCTTAGGTGTGTGTGAATCATTGAATGTCCTGTTTGTCTCTGTGTTGCCCTGCGATTGGACTGGTACCCTGTACAGGGTTTACCCTGCCTCTTGCCCATTGACTGCTGGAGATAGGTACCAGCACCCCTTGCGACCCCAATTGGGACAAGCGTGTCAGATAATGGACCAACCAACCTTTTCTCATATACGCCTATACAGTAGATGTCTTTGAAAGATTTAAAAAGCATGATATATAACCTTTAACTAATAAAGTTATTATTTATAGCGTCAAATAATTTTTAGTATTTTCTACCAGAAAAGCTGCCCCATAACAAGATACCACTTCCCCCGTACATTACAGTTGAAGCTAGTGAGCCTCCATCTTTCTTCTCTGTAACAACGATCAGAGCCATAAAGACTCACAGGCTCAGCTATTTTTTCAAAGAAAAAAAGTGCAAACATTTCTGGCTCAAACCTGGAAAAGATGCAGCAGGAAGCCTGGCCACTTTGATTGAGGCTAAAAGGTTCTGCACATAATATTTCTGTAGGATGGCAGCGCAGTTAGAGATGAACAGTCACAACTTTTAGGTTTTTCTATAATAAAAATAAATAAACATACTATAACATAATTATGCCGTGCTCTGTGTTAGTCTTTAATTTAATGGTTTTAAGATAGATCTACAATATTAGATCGATCTGATGTATCTGAATATCAAACTATTTTAATGAATGTCTCTCCTTTCTGTGTTAAAGTGGGGCTAACTCTTAATGAATAGATCTCTGCAGGGCTTCACGCTACCCTTCATCCAGCTGGCATCTCACTGAAAATCAATGGGGTCGCAGCCACGTGGGAGGTCTGCCACAGGGGACCATTTGATCCAGCTCAAACACCCTGAGGGATCGATCTGCAGAGTGGCATGGAGGGCAGCCCATCATCCGCAGGGCACGGATTTTATCTCGATCATACAAGTGCCCGAATGTCAATGAGGTTTTCGTTGTGAGGTCTCTGCAGTGGGCGTGGAAATGAAAATGCAGCAAAGTGGATAAAGGAAAGGAGCTGGGTGATGCGTTGTCCTTTGCATCAAAGGCAGATAGGCAAATTCCCGCAGAGCATTAAGGAAAATAAATTGGACTGGAGCTCTGCAATGTGGAAGAAAGCAGACCCTAGACTAATAATGCTGTTTTGCAGTGAAGAAAATGAATATGAGGTATTTGTGATGTGCACACTATAGGAAGCAGTAATGGGACACAACCAGCACATGCTGCTGAGGGGAAGCTGCAGAAATGTCAAGTGCTTTAAGACTACCTCCTATGCTGCCTCTGAATACAATTAAAAACAGCTTTGAGTTCATTTTCATCAGTACGAGCACCTGACTAATTTTCACAATAACATACCTTAGGAAAAGGAATTTTATAACATAGCATAAATCTTTGGCATATATTCTCATTTAGAGGCTTAATGAAAAAGGACTCACCCTCTGAATCATTTTAGCAAGTGTGACCAAGGACATCTGTGTGTAAATACAAAAGGAACTGAAGGAAAAATAGTAAGTCAGCTACAGTAAAACCTGAATATGCTAGCTCCTCTAATGCTCGTTAAAAGCAAAGGTGAGTACCCAAAAATTGAACT